ATCTATGTAATGAGAAAGTATAATATCCAAAGAGTATACAGTATATAACTTTATCAAAATTTCCAATATACAGATCAATAAAGTGGTATAAAGCAAAGTGAAAGACTTTTGGACTTCATGACTCATTGTCTGTTTACTTTGGAAGGTTTCTTCATTGAACACATATCCATGAAGCCTATATATATATGGGCAGGCATGTAGCTGGGGGGGGGGGGGGGGGGGGGGGGGGGGGGGGGGGGGGGCTTAGGCTTCACCCCCCCCCCCAAATTCTCAGGGTGGTCCACGAAGGCCTTACTGGTACATTATTTAAACTGTTATGTTCATTCATATCATGATCTGATCACCATGCTCAATATATCCCATATGCATGGGGGTATTGGGATAATGATACAAAAGGTTTGCTAGGGTAGATCCTCAGCCCCTCCCCGCGAATCAAACTCAGCCCCCCGAACTCAGCCCCCCGAATCAAACTCAGCCCCCCCGAATCAAACTCAGCCCCCCCCAAATCAAACTCACCCCCCCAATCAAACTCAGCCCTCCTGAATCAAACTCAGCCCCCGAATCAAACTCAGCCCCCCAGAATCAAACTCAGCCCCTCGAATCAAACTCAGCCCCGAATCAAACTCAGCCCCCGAATCAAACTCAGCCTCCCAAATCAAACTCAGCCCCCCAAATCAAACTCAGCCCCCCTGAATCAACTCAGCCCCCCAAATCAAACTCAGCCCCCAATCAAACTCACCCCTGAATCAAACTCAGCCCCCGATCAAACTCAGCCCTCGCGAATCAAACTCAGGAGGGAGAGAGGGGAGAGAAAAGGTCAGAGGAGATCTAGGCAAGTGAGCACTAACTCAGAGAGCAGGTCCATAGCAGAGGAGAAGGAGATAGAGCATGCAAGAGATAGGAAGAGGCAGGAGGAGAGACAGGAAGTGAGAGCAGAGAAGAAAGGTCAGAGGGAAGCTGGGGTCAGGGAACTCATGCTCAGAGAGATAATGGAAGGGCAAGATAGGAGAATGAAGATGCAGTCATCAGAAGTCAGGAGTATAGAGAGAAGAGTCAGAAGGGCAACCCATTGCCTTCATGCTTGAAAAAGACATAGGCAAGGCAGAGCGAATACAGGGTGAGCAAGAGAGAGAGAGATATGGAGCGGCAGGAGCTAGAGTCAGAGGCAGACGAGGCAGAGGAAGGAAAGCGAGAGGGAGCAGGCCTGGGTGCAGCTCAAACTCAGTCCGTCCGTCCCCCGAATCAAACTCAGGCTTCCCCAAATCAAAGTCAGCCTCCCCTGAATCAAACTCGCCCCCCCCAATCAAACTCAGCCTTCCCCGAATCAAACTCAGGCCCCGAATCAAACTCAGCCCCGCAATCAAAGTCAGCCTCCCCTGAATCAAACCCAGCATCCCCGAATCAAACTCAGCCCCCAAATTGAACTCAGCCCCCCGAATCAACTCAGCCCCCCGAATCAAACTCAGCCCCGCGAATCAAACTCAGCCCCGCGAATCAAACTCAGGCCCCCCAAATCAAACTCAGCCCCCCTGAATTAAACTCAGCCCCCCCAAATCAAACTCAGCCCCCCGAATCAAACCCCCCCCCCCCCCCCCGAATCAAAATCCTGTCTACGGGCCTGTATATGGGAATCTATCAGTCTCAGAACTATTATGTTTGAGGGTGGTTGCTCCTTTTCACTTTGCTTTATGCCACTGTATTGAGCTGTATATTGGGAATTTTGATAAAATTATATACTGTATGCTCTTTGGATATTATACTTTTTCCTTAGATAGATTGCTTCGTGTTTGTGTAGATGAGCCCTATTCTGGGAGTATTATAGTGTAGATCCAGCCCCAGTGATGTTAACTTGATGTATACTTAGCTATGTAGCAGAGGCACTATGAAACCCTGTTAGTGAATTGCGGAGAAACATTTTGGCAAGATCATCGATGCGCATTGGTACCCAGCACATACTGGTCCCTTTGCCCATTTGTCACTTTGCCAGCGTAGCTACATAGAAATACAACAGCACTCCATTGGACCTGGATGTAAGGAAACCACCCAAATTCCTGCACACATAAGTTCACTTATGGAGATACAACTCAAATAAAGGATTCTGACCAATATTTCTTAGGAGGCAATCACAGTTTCTAACTGGTTTTCAGGCATTAGCTACTGGTAAAAAATAACTTGTCTCTAGTGAACATTTTGGTGAGCAGCATTTCTGTTATCCAGACACATAACCATTTCAATGTTTTAAATATTCTCCATTGCCAGATAGGTAAGAGTGCATCAACATTGCTAAGTCAATGCAGTTTGACACGACTCAGGCTCGTTCTACACTGACCATATAATACAATTAAATGCAATTCAAACTGCTTTATATAGTCAGTGTAGAACAAGTACGGGCAAACTTCCAGGTGTTTTGGATTTCAACTCCCACAATTCTTAACAGCTTAAGTGGCTGAGGGGTAAAGGAAGAGGCCTGAGGCTCTTATGAATTCTGGGAGTTAAAAGTCCAAAACACCTGAAGGGCCGAAGTTTGCCCATGCCTGATGGAGAACTATCTTCAATTGCCATGGCGACAATAATATGAAATCATGAGAGATGGCATTGAGAAACTAGACTTCTCAAGATTCCATAGCATTGAGCCATAGCATATAAAGTGGTGCCAAACTGCTTTAATTTGATAGTGTAGATGCACCCTGAGTCAAATCCTACTGTATTCTGGAGGTCTGCAATTCTGCATCAGTTGTTCCTGGAACTGAAGTCTCAAACGGACTTACTAGGACGTGAGCCTCAGCGAACTACAGTGGGATTACTTCTGAGTAAACACATTTTGTCTGCAACCAGAATTCTGTCAATCAGCACTAATTTCTAAAGTATCGAACAGTACCTACTCTCTACAAAGTGTGACCAAGACTGTAAAAACCCAAGTCCATTTTGTTTGGTTGCACAATTTCCCCATTTCTGCATCCATATCAACTGAATGCAGAAAGGCACTCAGTTTATATGAATGCATTTCTGCAGAATGTAAAGCATTCTTTTGCAAAGTTTTCCTCCCCTCCTTCACAAAAGACAAAGTGGAGTGCTGATCGGTGATCCAGTTAAGTAATTTTATACAATGGTCGTAACGGTCTTTTGCTGTTCTGCTCACCACTCTTGCAGATGAAAACGGGGACACACATGGCCAAGCAACATCAGTCAAGTAGTCAACATGGGAAGAGGTATTAATCAGGAATACACAAAATAGGAGAGGCTGCAGCAGTTTGCTTTTGCCCAAACCCATTGGGAAGGTTCAGATTCTGCCTCCTCCTTTCCTCTCCCCTTGCTGTCAGCTAAGCACATACTACTTTGGCACTTTGGACTCAGTTTGCAGCTATGGAAGTATGCTGAAGAGGAAAGTGGGAGGCTAAGAGAGAAATTAGGACCCTTGAACATAGGATGACAGAGGATTAATTGGGACAGTTGGAGGATATGTTTAAATGTCAATATGGAGCCCCCGGTGGCGCAATGGGTTAAAACCTTGTGCCAGCAGAACTGCTGACTGAAAGGTCAGCAGTTTGAATCCAGGAGCGGGGTGAGCTCCTGTTTGTCAGCTCCAGCTTCTTATGCTGGGATAAGAGAGAAGCCTCCCACAGGATGGTAAAACATCCGCACATCCCTTGGGCAACGTCCTTGAAGGCGGCCAGTTCTCTCACACCAGAAGCGACTTGCAGTTTCTTAAGTCACTCCTGGCATGGAAAAAAATGGCAAAATGCATTCTGGATTACTTCCTTCAAAATAAGGTAAGCAAATCCTTCTTAAATTTGAGAAGGACTTCATTCTGCTGAACTACTGTTCTACAACTCTGCATTTACATCTGAATTATGCTTTTTTCTTCCTTCTTGGGCTCAGTCCCTATGAATAAATTTGTGAATGACACCATTTTGGGTGTATAAGCCCATCCTGAGTCTATATTATGTTCACTATAAAGTAAATGAAAAAGATAGAACTGATTTGGCAATATATTTCCAGATAATATACATAAAACAGGTCCTCATAATCCTAGAGCTGAGGGGCTCCACTTTTCATCTTGTTCCAGATCCAGGTTACAACCCCAGGAGAAGCACTAAACAGAGCAATAACTAAACCAAGAGAAAAAGGTCTATAATGGTCAGGGATCGTGTATATATAAATGCTGCATTGGTCAACATGGGATCCCTGCTCAACGTAGAGAATAAAGGGAATCCACCTGGATTGGCAGTGAGGAACTGCAGATCTGCGCCTGAGTGCACACAGTAAAAATAAAATAAGCCTAGCATGATTCAGGGGGAGAAAACATCAGGATCAGAAATATCCTGTTTTATAAAACAGCTTCCAAGTGGAAAAAAAATCCACTGAGAAGAAAGTCACTGTTGACCCCTGCGCGCCCCAAATAATTAACCAAGTCCTAAGAAACATCACAATCATGTTGTTAGTTTCCCCATATATGTCTCTTTGTGTCTGTCTATATATTTATTTATTTACTTATATATTTATATAACTATAATACATGTAAAAATTCTCCCTAAGAAGCTGATTCAGGGGATTTGGGTAGGGATGAGTGGAGCTGATCTATCCATCTCCATGACCTCTGGATTCATTTGTCAAGCTCTTCGTCCAGATATCGAAAAGAAGACGCAAGGCTGAGGACTCTTAAAACTCTACCTACCCGATGGACAAGGCAAACAAATGAAATCAATTATAATTGAATTAATTATCATTTCCAAAAAGAAAATGGGTGAGGGATATCTGTATAAAGAGCAGGGACACCCTCCCTCCTCCCCAAAGACAGCTTCATCTCAGGAAGAGCTATGGCTCAGTCGTGACTTACAGATGGGCCAAAAACAGAAAAGAGTCAAAGATTAGATTAGAAGAGATTTGTCAAAAGTCTAGTGGATTAGAAATACCTCTGGCAACCACTAAGGGGCAGTCAGTCCTTTTAGATTTCCCAAAATCTTCTCCCTCCCCCCCCCCCATACTTTATCCCTCCCCCAACCCCATGGCACTGTGTTTTGGCACAAACTTTTGTCAGCCCTTAGTAAAGCTGCAGTGAAGGAGAAAAGAGGGATCCCTTATACTCCGCGAGGAACAAAACACCCTCTTGATCCGCACTGCAGCCCCAGATTTTGGCACAGTACATTGTGGAAGCTATCTTGTACACAGCTTGTGAACAGGGGAGACCGGGCTTTCAATCCATACCCACACCACTTCCAATCCCTATCCACACCACTTTCAGGCCCTCTTGGCTGTCCAGTAGAAAAGTCAACCAAGTGTGCATGAGGAATGACACTTCTCCGAGAGCCACGGAGCCGCAGTCACGGGCTCCCTCCTTCTGTAGTCTGTGTCAAAAGCATCCGTCCTGGTTATCCTCGAGGTGCCTGATTGTAAGGACAGTGATGTTTGAGTTATTTCTCCTAAACCTGGTAGTAGAAATGGTTGAAGTCTGCCTCGTATTTGTTTTTTATTTATTTTCACAGAAAGCCCCTTGGTGAAAATACTCCTTCTCTTCCACAAGATGTGAGATGTAATCTTAGGTCCCACTGGTAGGTCAAAAAAGGTGACGGAAGTTCAGGGCAGGGAGATGGAGGGAAGACCAAAGAGACAGAGGTTGAAAGGAAAGAGTGGAAGGAAAGGAGGACGAAACGAGAAAAGGGAAGGAAGGAACTGTAGAATGGATTGTTTTCTCGCTTCAGAACATTCTGACACCCCCAACATCCTTTGAGCTGTGTCTTGCCTTCACCTCTTACCCTTTCTATACCCTCTCCTCACTTTGCTCCTTCCTTACACTGGAGTTGTCTTCCTGTTGAGGGTGTTGGTGTTGGAGGAGGCATCTTTACCCAAGGTGCCTGTTGCCCCCGCTACGTTGGGCCCGGTTACAGTGACAGTGACGCCAGGGTCCTTGGGGAAGGTGTTGTGCAACTGTAAGAACCCACCACTGCCTGTACCCGTTGCCCCTGACGGTGGTGGTGCTGCCGCCGCCCCCGTGGAGGCCGTTTCGCTGGCACCGCCATAGAGGGAGCTGATGTTGGCCTTGGAGGGGTCCCTCGACAGTGTATACATGGAGATGTCGGTGGAAGGGAACCCTTTGAGGCCTACTGGTGAGGTTTCTCGAGACTGCGAGGGTTCGGTAGAGCGGGAACTGGAGCGTGACCGGCGGCGGTATCGGAAACGGTAGCTGGGTAGGCGCAAGATGGCCGAAGAGGAAGAGGAAGGGTTCTTCAGCAGCTCTGTGCGGCTCTTGCAGTGGGCCTCACGGTTCTTCTCAATGTAGATGTTGACGGCTAAGACTCCAATCATCTCTGCCAGGATGAAGGAAAGGCCACCGAAGTAAAAGGACCAGCCGTAAGAGTAGTGGCTCTTCTTCTCATCATCCCGTTTTGTGCCGGGGTCCCCAGCGTTGGCGGAGATGTAAACGATAACACCGATGATGTTACTGAGACCTGAGGTGTGGGAACGAAGGGCAGTAATGGAGAGATTGGGGTGGGGAGAGGGAGAAAAAAGGAAGAGGTCTATAGGTAAAGACATATTGGAAAAAGATGACAGATGTTCAGTGGTTCCAGTCTATGTTCTGTGTTTTCACAGTTTCAGGTTAAAGTATATCTCTAGAAAGGGAATGCGAGAAGAACCAAGTACAAGCCACATGTATCTGTCTGGTATATTTGTGCCCATGAGGTACAAATGTAGTTAGAAATTGGCTCTGGAACCAACACTGGTCCAGAGACCACCAATTTGAGCAGCACTTTGCATAGTGGACATGGAAGGCAATTTCATTAGCATTTTTAAAGTCAGGGGACTTGTTCCCCAAAGTAATGTTGGGGAGGGGGAGTCCTCTTGAGTCATAATCACTCCCCCCAAAATACCATAAATGCTGAGTTTTTCAGCCCTTTTTTCAGCTGAAAAAGCCTCCAATCAGCTCATAATGGGGTCAAGGCTCCGAGCCATTGCTTGCAATATATGATATATTTATCTCTCCTCCCTTAACAGTGTTTTTGTTTTCCAAAGCCTCCCTCACTCCGCTTCTCCTCCCAGGCTAGTCTTGCCCATTTTGGAAACTCTTATTTATTTAGGAGGGGGTGGGGAAAAGAGAGAGAGAGAAGGGAAGAGAATGCTTTGAAAAGGGAAAAGAGGGGAAAGATTGCATGGTTGGGAGGGGAAGAAAAAAGGGAAAAGAGGGGAAAGATTGCATGGGTGGGAGGGGAAGAAAAAGACAGAAAAACTCTGGCAAATCTGCAAGATCTATTATTATTATTATTATTATTATTTAAAAAGAGAGAAGGGAATGTTGTTCTTCCTTGGGCAAATGCATGCCACAAAGCTTTTAAATAATATATAGTTTCCCCCCTATAAATCTTTGCAAGTTCTGTGTTATCCGTATATATCTATATGCATATTAATCTTATATATGCATTTCCCCTGAAATCTTTTGCAAGCCCGATTTCTGTGTATCTAAATGTGTTAATACACACACACATTTTTGTTCCCTTGGAAGTGTTCACTGGCCTTTGCAAGTCCTATAGATCATATAGATAGATAGATAGATAGATAGATAGATAGATAGATAGATAGATAGGTAGGGAGGGAGAGAGAGAGAGAGATGGCTAGATAGATATAAACATAGATATATAGGGTTTGCATATATTGCAGGAGGGAAATGCACACATATAGAGAGAAGATTTGGAAATGTTTCAGGGGAAATGCATATTTGAAATTAGTATATATAATTATAGATCTATATCTAGCTCTGCATTGTTTATATAGGCATTGAATGTTTGCCTGTTATTATGTTGGAAACCAGCATGAGTCCCCATGGGGAGATAGTGCAGGATACAAATGAAGTTTTTATTATTATTATTATTATTATTATTATTATTATTATTATTATGTTATTGCTGATACCATATTGTTTTTGTTGAGCCTACTTTTCCACTTACAGAGCTAGTTTACTGTGTTTCTTTGAAATACAGTAAGTATTTAAAAACATTTAATCTACTGATGCCTCAATTAATGTAATTTTATTGGTATCTATTTTTATTTTGAAATTGACCAGTAGCTGCTGCATTTCCCACCCTCGACTTATATTTGGATCAATACGTTTCCCCAGTTTTCTGTGGTAAAAATAGTTGTCTCGGCTTATATTCGGGTTGGCTTAGACTCAAGCATATATGGTACTTAGCAAAATTGCAACCCCCACCCATAGTGCAGTGGCATCCCCCATAGCACAGTACATCTCTTTAAGTATGTTCATTTTAATGATTAGGGTTTAGGGAGAGATATAAGCATCCCACATCTCAGAGACTTTTCTATTTCTCCTCCTTGATCTGCAGTCTAGTGTTCATTTTCATGCAGCAGCTTTCTAGCTTGCAGACCTGAATTCATAGTTATATTAACATCATCCAGGGCCTTCACATTAACAGTTTAACAAGCTTGAAGAGAAGAATTGAAACTACATAGACCTATAATCTAAGACTGGAGTTCTGTGTTAATGCTCTATACCAGAGCGAGGCAAGTTCATACCTTCTAGATAGCTGCAATAACTCCAATTAGCCCCATCTAGCAGCACTGGTACTTAGGGATTATGGGAGTTGTAGTCCCAAACAAATGAGGACAGTTTGTCTATCCCAACCCTATATAGCTAATCCTTGATTCCTCCTGCCCAAATCCTGCTCAACAAGAACTTTAGTCCCTCGCCCCCCCCCCCCCCCCCAGGCTGAGATCCTGCACAAATGATTACAATTTTGCCAGTATTTCATTCTTACTTATTTATAGCTTGTGTACATCGGTTCTCAAATTCCAAAGAGATGATATGCAATGGACAAAAACAATGTTAAATATGAATGACAAAAAAACTGTTTCAAACAGACTAAAAAAAACTCCAGCAGTTTCAAGAACAAAAGCAATTTCAAGAATTTTGCTGCCTGTTGGAAACTCAAAAGGGATGTAGTTAGCCTGACTTCGAAGAGGCAGTGTGGTGTAGTGGTTTGAGCACTGGACTATGACTACAGAGACCAGGGTTCGAATCCTTTCTGGCCATGGAAACCTACTGCATGTTCTTAGGTATGTGATACTCTTAGCTTCAGACAAAAGCAAAAGCAAATCTACTCTCAATATGTTAGCCATAGACATTTAGTTCTTTGTAAGTAAGAGCCAACGTCTTGTGTGGAAGCACAGGAGAAGCCCATGCAGTTCACGATTATATGGTCCATAAGATGCATACCTGACAACAATCTGCCTTCCTCATTTTGGACTAGCCGTAATTTTCTTTGGACTGTCTTTGGCAAAAAGACGCTCCAAGCAATATTGTTGGGCACACAATCATGAGATCACAATGTAGGCTCCTCGGCTTGAAAAATGAAGGAGAGCATCTCCCCAGAGCCTTCAGAAGCCAGAAATGAAAGGGAGAAGCCTCTGCCCTTGTTTGTGTTTGTGTCTCATTGTATATGATTGTAAAGGCATTGAATGTTTGCCTTTGTATGTACATGCTGTAATCTTATATGAGTCCCCTAGGGCAGAAGGGTGGAATATAAATAATGTGTATTATTATTATTATTATTTGAAACACAACAAGATCAGTCCACAGCAGACACTTTGCTGGCTGTTGTATTGGATCACACGCCGGACACTTCCCAAGTGTCTAGGACTGTATGATGTATTGGTGAATAATGCGTGCAGATCCCAGTAAGGTGGCCTTCTACAGCTGGCAGATGGTAATTTTGTCAGTGCTGATTGTGTTTAAGTGCAGGCCAAGGTCTTTAGGCACTGCACCCAGTGTGCTGATCACCACTGGGATCACCTTGACTGCCTTCTGCCAGAGTCTTTGCAGTTCAATCTTTAAATCCACATATCATGTCATAATAATAATAATAATAATAATAATAATAATAATAATAATAATTTATTATTATTATTATTAGATATCTAACAAGATTAGTACATAGCGAACAAAATCACTAAGCTGGCTTTTGTATTTGATCACACATCAGACACTTCTAGGACTGAATGATGCATTATTATTATTATTATTATTATTATTAGGGTCTAAGTCCTTCCAACTATTCCATTGGTTGTCTGATACCAGAATACAGGTCTGAATGCATATGGTGATGGGAAGAAGAAGAAAGAGAGAAAGATTCATAAGGAGAGATCCATAGATGTATACATGCAGGGAGTGGTATAATGTGAGAGATGGACAATTCTGGAGAGATAGGAAATAAGATAGGTGGAAAGATGCAGAAAGGATGAAGATAGATGGAGGTATGGCATGTTTGAATGAATGTAAGCCTAAATCATGGTATAAATGAACCCACCTCCTTTTGTCTGAATTAGGCCACTATATTTAGCCCACCCTGACTGGCAGCAACACAGCCCAGAACTAGCTCAATTGTTCCTAATGGCTACAAGAGTTTCTTCAATGAGTAGCAATGAGTGGTGTTTACTGGGCTATAGCAATAAGGGAGGTCTCTATCAGAGGTTCCTTTTCAAATCAGCTATTCCAGCTACATAAATTCTTATCTACTATGAAAAAACATTACCCATTTCAAACATTCTTTGCTACATCTCCCCACCTTGACTGAAGATATTGTATCTAGAGCAGTGGTTCTCAAACTGCCTAATGCCACGGCACCTTCATACAGTTCCTCATATTGTGGTGACCCCAAAACATAACATTTTTTTCGTTGCTACTTCATAACTGGTGTAACAGGGAGGTTGTGTGCTCTCTGTACTCTGCTCCAGTGAGCAATCTGGTTGCCGCCCTTTCGGCCATTCAAAGCTTCTGAACAGTCTTCAAAGGCAACCCCACGTAGAGTATGTTGTAGTAATCCATACAGGAGGTAACAAGAGCATGGGCCATCGTGGCCAAGTCTGACTTCCCAAGATATGGGCACAGGTGACACACAAGTTTCAGTTGTGCAAAAGCTCCCCTGGCCACCGCTGGAACCTGGGGTTCCAAGCTCAACAATGAATCCAGGTTGGCTCCCAAGCTGCGAGCCTGAGTCTTCAGGGGAAGCGTAACCCCATCCAGCACAGGCTGTAACCCTATACCCTGTTTGGCCTTTCAACTGACCAGAAGGACCTCTGAGAGTCTAGTGCAGTGTTTCTCAACCTTCCTAATACCACGACCCCTTAATACAGTTCCCCAACCATAAAATTATTTTTGTTGCTACTTCATAACTGTAATTTTGCTACTCTTATAAATCGTAATGTAAATATCTGATATGCAGGATGTATTTTCATTCACTGGACCAAATTTGGCACAAATACCCCATATGCCCAAATTTGAATACTGGTGGGCTTGGATTTGGGGGATTGATTTTGTCATTTGGGAGTTGTAGTTGCTGGGATTTATAGTTCACGTACAATCAAAGAGCATTCTGAACTCCACCAATGATGGAATTGAACCAGACTTGGCACACAGAACTCCCATGAACAACGGAAAATACTGGAAGGGTCTGGTGGGCATTGACCTTGAATTTGGAAGTTGTAGTTCACCTACACACATAAAGCACTGTGGACTCAAACAATGATGGATCTGGACCAAATTTGGCACAGATACTCAATATGCCCAAATGTGAACACTGGTGGAGTTGTGGGGAAATAGACCTTTGCCATTTGGAAGTTGTAGTTGCTGGGATTTATAGTTCACCTACAATCAAAGAGAATTCTGAACCCCACCAACAATAGAATTGGGCCAAACTTCCCACACAGAATGCCCATGACCAATAGAAAATACTCTGTTTTCTGATGGTCTTTGGTGATCCCTTTGACACCCTGTTCGCAACCCCCCTATGATTAGCATATGATGGATCTGGACCAAACTTGGCACAAATACTCAATTTGCTGAAATGTATATACTGGTAGAGTTTGGGGGAAATAGATCTTTGCCATTGGGAGTTGTAGTTTCTGGGATTTATAGTTCACCTACAATCAAAAAGCATTTTGAATCCCACCAACAATAGAATTGGGCCAAACTACCCACACTGAACCCCCATGACCAACAAAAAATATGGTATTTTCTGGTGGTCTTTGGAGATCCCTCTGACATCCCCTCGTAACCCCCCAGGTTGAGAAACGCTGCTCTGGCGAATCCAGGAACCTGGAACCTTTTATATACTAAACATGTGATCCTACACACTTCAGTCTCTTCCTAGAAAATACCATGGAACAGAATGTAACAAATAGAAAGGGTGATAAGTCAGAAGTAAACCGATATGAAGCTGAAGTTGCGATCCATGAAGAAGAAAATGGAGAATGATAGAGAAATAGAGGAATAGAACAGCAGTTTCTCTATAACTGAAATGACCAGAAACGGTGACTGGACATTTCAATTGCAGCCACATTCAAGATCAGAGTGTGGGAGCTCTGGCGTGGGCTGATCCATGAGGTCACAAAGAGTCGGAAGGGACTAGTCAAATAAACAACATGACCTGAGAGGGATTCTTCCAGCTTTGCTACACCACTCACCTGCAGCAACAAATAGGATGCCAGCACCGAGGATAATGTTGCGCTTAGATTTGTAGACACGGCTTGCAGCTACGCAGAATCCTCCCAGTAACAGCAAGATAGCACTTAGAATCGGGAAGATGCTTGAGGCCCGTACCACACCTGTGGGAGACACATGCCCACAGTTACAAAGGAAAAGATAGCAAACGCCCAGGATCAGAAATTTTTGTTAGTGTACTAGCAAGGTCTCTGGCAAGGTTTCTAGCCTTTCTTCCTGATATGCTAGATTTCTGTGTTGAGAATAATAAACCAATAAGTAAACAGAGACATCTAACATCAAGAAATAATGCCTGGCTTTCAGTCCTGCAGTTACAGATTTGTAATCTAAATGAGGAATCTGCTACCGAGAAATTGTGTAAAATTCCCTTCAGTCTACTGTTAACAGCTAGGAGCTAGGGGCAGATCCAAACAGCCTTTTATCCCAGAAGCACCTCGTTTAAATAACGCAGATGTTTCTGGGAGGTTGTCCACACCCACCCCAGAAAATGTGCACTTTCTGGGGTCGGTGTCCAGACGTTCTCTTGGGACCAGCGATTTTCCTCCTCACCCCCCACCCCCTGGCTCTCCTGGTGCGTCATTTCTACGTGCCGGGAGAGCTGGCCAAAGCCTGTAATGGCTTTTCTAAGGGGTCTGGACACCCAATCAAAGAGCATTTGGAACTCCTCCAATGATGGACTTGAATCAACTTTGGCACACAGAACTCCCATGACCAACAGAAAATACTGGAAGGGTTTGGTGGGCATTGACCTTGACTTTTGGAGTTATAGTTCACTTACATCCAGAGAGGATTGTGGACTCAAACAATGATGGATCTGGACCAAACTTGGCACAGATACTCAATATGCCCAAATGTGAACACTGGTAGATTTTGGGGAAAATAGACCTTGACATTTGGGAGTTGTAGTTGCTGGGATAGATAGTTCACCTACAATCAAAGAGCATTCTGAATTCCACCAATGATAGAATTGGGCAGACTTCCCACACAGAACCCCATGACCAACGGAACATACTGTTTTTTCTCATGGTCTTTGGCAACCCATCTGATCCCCCAGGGGTCCCGACCCCCAGGTTGAGAAAGACTGTTTCAGATATTTCAGCCTCCTAATAAACATTTTTTTTCCATTGGGAGGTCTATGGAGGTCCAAAAGATCAAAATGAACCTCCCAAGGGCCTATATGTGATTTTTGGGTCTCGTGGGTCCTACTCCTGACTAATGCTATTTAACTGTGCTGTGGATGAGGCATGGACCGTGAAACAGCAACTCTCTCTGCCTTTTAAGCAGGGACAGTTGGAACATATGAGAGAAATTTCTAGGGTGGAAAAGTAGATTTACGTATTATGCCTGAACGACTTAATCCTAACTCAACCAAATCAGAATGGATTTTTTGCAGGGACAACCAAAGAACTCTCCTGCCTCCAGGGCTCTCGTCGATTCCAAAATGTGGACTTCCTTGTCTCAACAGTACACATGCATTGGAAAAGGGGAAAGCAAAAACAGCACGGTTTCACAGTTGTCAGTGTGTGTGTATGTTTATGAAGGGGGAAGTACAACCACTTCCTTTCCTTTTCCTCCCATAGTTCTTTTGAAAAATGCCAGGAACATTTTGTCGACATTATATAATTATAAATGCCCAAAGGCGAAGGGCAGAGGGAAGTGATTTACAGGAAAATGAGGATTTTGGAGAAGAAGAACTATTATGAGAGCTGCTGGCCAGAAAATTATTTTAATTCATAAATCCTTGGCCGGTCAACCTTTAATTAAAAAGAAGTGAGTGGAAGTAAAAAATATATATGCTAAGATGTATTTAGCTTTTGGGATAAGGTTAAGCCCTTTATTGTTGAGGCAAAAAGATTAAGGGACGGATCCAGATTTTGGTGTGCAGCAATTGGGTTGATGGAAGTGGGCTTCCTCATCTCCTCTTTCCAGTGGGAGTCAGTGTCTTGCAAATCAAGCAAGGAACCTTTCTGTGAATAGTAGAGTTGGTGGATCTCAGAAGCTGGCCCTGAGGAAACTGCAGTGTTTGAGGGATGAGGGCTGAACTCCAGAAAAGAGCTTTGTTCAAACATCCAGTTCTGACAGGAGACCAGCAGCTCGCAACAGTTTGCAGAGTTTAATTAATTTGTTGCTTGTTTTTTTTCCGTGTCAGGAGCGACTTGAGAAACTGCAAGTTGCTTCTAGTGTGAGAGAATTGGTTGTCTGCAATGACGTTGCCTAAAGGATGGCCGAATGTTTTGATGTTTTATCATCCTTGTGGGAGGCTTCTCTCATGTCCCCGCATGGGGGAGTTAGAGCTAACAGAGGGAGCTCTTCTGCACTGTCCCTGGATTTGAAACTCTGACCTATCAGTCTTCAGTCCTGGCTGCACAAGGGTTTAACCCATTTCAACACCGGGGCTCCTGCAACTTGTGTAGACTTCGGACAGAGGTGTATGTATGCTTCTTCCATGGTTGCTCTACCCATGGCCTTAATCTTTCAGCCTCCACCAATTGTGTCAACATAGTATGTGTCTACAATATAGAATGAATGCAGTTTGATACCACTTTAATTGCCATAGCTAAATGCTATATAATCATTGGAGCTGTCATACGAAAACTGACTGTTACAACCTGGGGAATCACAACCAGAAACAATGAAGACATCTGCTCTTGCGCTTTGCTACTCTGCTGCTGAATACACATGCCCAGTGTGGAATGAATCTCACCACGTTAAAACAGTGGATGTGGCTCTTAATGAGACATGTCTCATTATCACAGGATGTCTATGCCCTACACCGCTAGAGAAATTATACTGTTTAGCTGGTATTGCGCCACGTGATATCCGTCGGAAAGTAGCAGTCTGTATGAAAGGACCAAGGCATTGACATCTCCAGCTCATCCATCTACCACAATGCGGTCTGAGCCCTGCCACATGCATGATGGAGGACCTTCTCACAGTGATACCAGAGGCCAGCTTCTGGTCAAAGAAAATTTAGTATAATGCCAAGTGTTTAATTTTGTTTGTGGTTTTTCTATACATTATAACTGTATTCTTAATTCATTTCTGACACGATAAATAAATAAATAAATAAATTGGAGTTGTTGTTTTACAGCAAGGGTCCCCAAATTAAGGCCCGGGGGCTGGATATGGCCCTCCAAGGTCATTTACCCGGCCCTCTCTTAGGGTCAGCCTAAGCTTGAAACGACTTGAAAGCACACAACAACAACAGTAACCATCCGATCTCATCAGCCAAAAGCAGGCCCACACTTCCCATTGAAAAACGAATAAGTTTATATTTGTTAAAATTGTTCTTCATTTTAATTATTCTATTGTTTTTAAGTGTGTTTTTTTGGCGCTACAAATAAGATATGTGCAGTGTGCATAGGAATTCAGTCATTTTTTTTTTCAAATTATAATCCGGTCCTCCAACAGTTTGAGGGACTGTGACCTGGCCCTCTGTTTAAAAAGTTTGAGGACCCCTGTTTTACAGGATCTTTAAGCTTCTCTGCCAAAGAGTGCTGGTGCCTAACCAAACAAAAAACACCTTGATTCCATAGCAATGGTGTCAAACAGCATTCATTTAATAGTGCAGATGGCTATCGGCCTCCTCCCAGTAGACTCAAATCAAGGAACAGCTTCATGAGAACCACCGCTCCTCTTAACATTCCCTCAGCAATAGCAAGAGTATCCTTCTGGGCAGCTAAACCAGGCCGTTCCTACTGGCCGTCCCCCCATGAGGGTCTTCCTTCAGGAGCAACTTGGAAGTCCCTGGAGAGCCTCAAAAGTGGAGTGAGCAGATCAAAAGACAACCTGGCAAAATGGCCCTACCTAAAAGAATCTTTCACCTTGTGTGACTGTGGAGCAGAACAGACTGTGGAGCAGACTGTGGAGCAGAACAAACAACAACGCACCTGTATGCTTCTCTGCAATGTCCTGCCTCGTGTACAGAAGAAGAATTGTTGGAGGCTACAGACAATGCGGTTGCTGTTGCCCGTTTTTGGTCAAAATATATTTAGCCACTTGTGCTCCTTCTATTTTTATCAGTTTTATACTAATTTATGCAATGCTTTTGATACAAAATAAAAATAAATAAACAGTGCAGATACATCCTGGGAGTTATGTATCTTGACTTTCATGCAGATACACTCATAATTATGGCAGGATGAATCTGGCCAAAGACTTGCCCAAGCTTTTAAACTTTGGATCAAAGTTTTTAGTCAGGTATTTTACAGGTGTCTTTGTTTCTCCAAGTGGCCCCAGGCATTTTGAACTGCGAGATGATACAGAAATTTAGGGGGATGCAATTCCTGCCAGCTGTTAGGAATTGTGAGAGTTGAAGTCCAAAACACCTGGAGGGCCGAAGTTTGCCCATGCCTGGTGAAGTGCTTTAGTCTTGCATTTAGAGACCAAGATACAAATCTACACTCAGCTGTGGAAACATACTAGTCAGGTCATTCTCTCTCAGCCTTAGAGAAAAGCAATAACATCCTCTGAAAAAAAAACTTAGCAAGGAAACCCTCAGGATAGAGTCACCATAAATCAGAGTCAACCGCAAGGCACATAACAACAAGAAACAGACATTTAAGATAAATAAAGAAATATGAGGAATCTTCCCTTCTTTTTTCTGTTTGCTTTGGCCTTTGGCTAAACAAAAAAAAAATGAACTCACTGAATTGGATTATTTCCAACCTCACTTTTTTGATAGCATGACCCTGAGATAAATTCATTATTTGGCCATGAAACTGTTCTTGACTGGCCCCATCTCTCCATATAACACACAGGCTTTACACACAGTGCCATGGGGTATAAATGCTGCTTTTGGAGAATGGCAAATCTCACAATTCTTTCTTTGCAAGCTGCAATGGCGAGTGTATGTGCGTGTGTCCTTTTTGCATGTATTCAAAGCTGATTTTGATCAAATGGCATGGATGATTTCTACACATATGATTGGGCCATCTTTGCAACAAAAATATTTTAAAATGTAGTAGCACATTTTTTAAAAAATCACAATACTTTTGTCCTCTCCTCTCAATTTTGTCCTTCTCTCCTCTGCGTTTCTCAACCTGGGGGTCGGTACCACTGGAGGGTCGCGAGGGGGTGTCAGAGGGGTCACTAAAGACCATCA